ATTATTTATGGATGACAGACGGCATTTTCCTGGTGTGTGACAAGAGCGATTAAAAAACCTCTCTGTAGCACCTCCTTTTAAGCATCTGCAGGGAGTAGCTGCAGGGACCGCTCGCCCAGGCAGCCCAATGCCAGCCTTAGGTGCAAGGGATGGCTTCCCCCTGGGGTCCTGGCTCAGAGTGAGTCAGGGGCTGGGGCTTGGCCAGGAGCTTCAGGAAGGCCACTCCGAATCCGGCCCCAGGCGGAGGGGCAGAGGGCGCTGGGGGAGTCTCCCAGGACCTGCCTGAGACAGGCTGCGAGGTAGGAAATGGGAGGGCAGTGCCGGGCAGTGGGGTGGCCAGCAGCTCACGGCTCTGGAGATGTCTGTCCAATAAGGTAGCCACTAGTCACACGTGGCTACTTAAGTTCAAGTTAATTAAAATTAGACAAAATTAAACATTTAGTTCTCCATTCACTCTAGTCCCCTTTCAAGTGCTCAGTAGCCATATGCTGTTAGTGGTTACTGTATTGAATGACTCAAGTGTGTAGAACTGGACACAGCTGCTTTCCCTCATCCCTCAGCCCCACGTGGCCAGCCTGCGGGGCACACTATTCCCTGTGCTTCCCACCCCCTCCCTGTCCACACCTGTGTCAGTGGTTCCTAAAACCTCTTCGAATTCCCATTTCTGTGTGTCTTCTGAACTCCTGTGCTGGAAAACCGGCTCTCCAGAAAAGGGCTGATGTGCAATGTGTGTAGATCTGCACGGAATAGATACACCTGCCGTGGCGGCTTCCAGCTCCCAGTGGCTGAACAACCAGCTGCTGCAGGTTCTCAGGAAGCTGGGATGAGCCTGCCCCAGCGCACCCCGCCCTGCCTCTCCCGCGGGACCCCGACTGGGACAGGGGTGTCGGGCTGCTGCCTCCGCTGGCTGCAGCGGCCTAAGGTGATGATGCAGACTCCCCTTCTAGGGCCCGCTGCCCAGGGCCACAGCGTCACTATGAGCCCTCAGTTCTCATCACCCCAGAGCCAGATTAAGCGGACGTGGGAGAACCACTTTGTCGTCTGGGCCCCAAAGTGGCACATCTTACGTTCTGAGTCCCACAAGCTACCCCATGAAGGAGTTCCCGCAGCCTCCATCTCCCGTTCTCTCTCTGTCTGTGTCTCTCTTTCCAAGGATCAAATCAGGCCTGGTAAAGGCAAAAAGAAAAAACAAAATAGAAACCTGCGAACTTCTTCCAATTCTATGGCCTTCTCATCTCTATGTGCAGGATTTGGTCCCCAAAGTGCATCCTTCTAGATCCACTCTCCCTCCTTCCTGTCGGTTCAGGAAAAATGATACTGGGTGCAAGTGACAGTGAGGGTGGGACAGACCCACCGACCAGCACAGGGCGACTCTGAGTCCCACTAAACAAGCACCATTGCTAAGCAGCCAACAGCAGAGCTTCGATGAAATGCATTGTGGTTTACCCAGGTGACGGCATATGCACAGCCCCGTAAAGATGCTTCACGGTGTGGGGAAGGGTTACGGTACGCTGTCACATTCAGAAGCGACAGATTTCTTTCTGGTCACACGCCGCAGCATCAATGAGTCGTGGGGACATGACGCCAAGTGCAATAAGCCAGACACGAAAGGGCAAATACTGTGTGATCCCATTTCTGTGAGGCATCTACAGTAGACAGACTCACAGAAACAGGAAACACAGTGGTGGCTGCCAGGGCTGGGAGGAGGGAGGAAGGGCGCGCTGTGCAGTGGGTAGAGTTGCAGTTTTGTGTTTGAAGAAGTTCTGCCGTACACTTGGAAACGTAAACAGAAATTTAAAAGCAAGAGATTCTTTTTCCCCCCAAACCAAACAAGAGACAACTGTTTCTTAAAACCCAAGATACTCGTTTCTTCTTCCAGGACTAGCGATGCGACACTGAACAGTTCTTGCCCCCGATCTTGGGTGGCTCCCCCTCCCGTGGGGAGCACGGTTAATGGAGAAGCCACGTGAATCCACGTAGAGCTGCAGAGAGAGAGGAACTGTCGGGAAGGAGCACGCACTGTGCTCTGAGCGTGTTACATCCAGGCACTGAGCTGGCCCGGGAGGCGGGGAGAGTGGCTGAGGGGACAGGAGGTGAGGCGAGGACCCAGGACCGAGCCCCTGGGAGGGGAGAGCTCACCAGCAGGTGCAGGGAGAGAACCTGCATCCTTTGGTGAGTGTGGGAAGGACACCCGCCCTCTCCTTCCCAGCAGGTCCCCCCGAGTGACAGGCTATCTCTGTGCCTTGTCGCTATCGCCCACGTCTCCACGGTGAGCTTGGGGCTGGGAGGGTTCGCAGGAGGAGAGCGCAGGCAGCATCGCCCGTGCTGCGCAGACGGACAGCAGCGCTCTGTATTTACTTATGTTCCTCCTTGTTTCAAGGAGAGTTTCAAGCTGCTTACAGCGACGTTAGCAACACAGCGGGCTGAAACACCTTGTCACCAGGTCCGAAAGATGAGGTGAGGGGACTATAGCTCAGAGTCGCAGGAGCAAGGAGCAGGGTGTCCCTTTATTCACAGGGAGCAACCTTCTCGTGTTCCTCGTCAAGTCCCGCCTGGCCTTTAACCCATATATTGACATTTAATCGTCCCGTCCTTAAACTCTGCTCAGATCTGTGAACACCCTGTCACTGATTTCCTCTGCCCTTTGTTACTCTCTCCCTTAAGCATATCATTTTATTTATTCCCATTCTGTCTTTTTTGCAGTTTAAAAAATCCATCCCCCCCCCCCCACACACACACACACAGAAGGGGCCAGGCCTGGCCCACCTCAGCACAGTGATGTCTTCAGAGACGCGCACAGTAGGTCTTCACGTGTTTGTGACTGACTGAGGGCCACTCGCGCCCGCTCCCGTGGCACTCAGCCAGTGACACCCTCCGCAGGGCTCAGGACACAGTTGCCAAGTTGATTTATGGGACTTATTATTCCAAGTGGCGGCAGAGAATAGATATTGATTCAAAAGGGTTTAAATAAATTAGTGGATGCACAAGCCAGGAGAGGGCCGTGGACCGAGGAGAGGGGGCTTGTCAAGCAGCTGAAGCAGATGTCATAAGGAACACGGGTCCTCTTGGGAACCGAGAGAGGGGACTCGGGGGGCGGGAGGGGGGGGCACAGGATGGATGGTGGAGGCAGCAAGCACAGGTTCACATCCAGGCTCCATCCCTCACATGCTGGGGGAGTGACCTTGGGCAGAGAATGGAAACAAGACCACCTCCTGTGAGGATGCCACAAAGAATGAACACACATGATCTCCATTCTAGAGGTGGGCAAACCAAGGCTCGGAGAGGCAAAGTCACTTGCCTTGGACAATTTAGTTAACCTCTCTGAGCCTCAGTTATCCACTCTGTAAAATGGGTAGACAAATCTCTTCCCGAACGGATGACTGTGACCGTATGGGGTTGCTGGAAGACTGAAGGCAGGGAGGGCATTTTGTGAACTCTAACAGCCCGTGTTAATGCCAAGCTCCAGTCTTTGCTATGGTAGCATCACTAGTTCCTTGCCCTCCACCTACAATCGCCTGTCACACACAACCCCAAAGCCAGCCAGGGACCCGGGTTTTCATCCAAAGCAAGGCTGGTCAAAGCATTTGGCTCGGGCTCACTTCTTTGCAGCAAGGAGCTCGCCTCCCCCGCCCCCTTCCCTGCCTGTCCCCATCCTCTGAGAGGAAAAGAACCTTGGGAAGAATGCTAATGTTGGCTTATAAATTCCAAACACGTAACCCCTGAGAAGTCATTTAGTTGATTACATGCAAGCAGCCCGTTGGTCATCCTTAAAAAGGGCCCGCTGCTGCCCTGCGCCTCTCACCCAGGGAGCGGGAGGAAGACTGGCCTTTGTGCACCAGTTCACGGGCCCAGGAGGACTCTTCTGGCTCCTGAGTGGACCAAGAACCATCCCTGGAAACCACTCCTCTGGGGATTCATTCCAGGCCCCATGACCCTCATGCCAATCCACCTGCGAGGGCTAAGGCCTTAAGAGACCTCCTTTGCTGTGATGTCCATGAAACAGACCATTTACTCTCCTGTTAATGTGATTCAATTAGTAAAGGGAGGCGGGGACTTACTGCTGGAGTGTCATTCCACGGCCTGCTGGGCAGGCTGCCTCACGGTGGCCGAGGCGGGAGTGGGGGGCGGGGGCGGACTCATTCAGCAGGCATGCCGGGCCACACCTCCCTCCCTGGGCACCGGTCAGGTGGCAGGTGACTGTGCAATGCAGGTGAGCGTTCACGTCTCAGCACAGGACCAGGCTCAGCGGGAGCGTGGCTTTGCGATCTGGAAGGGCTGACTTCGAATCTGGCTCTGGCCCTTAGCGCAGGGTCACCGTGGACCCGGTGCTTAAGCCCCCGGGGCTCAGATTCGACTTCTTTACCTCACTGTTGGGTAAAGCGAGGGCTAGAGACATGCCTGACAGTCAGGAGGGGCCCATAGAATTGGGCTCGTCTGTCCCTGATGTTTAATCCTCACAACAACCGCTTCACAGACGAGGAAACGGGGAGAAATCTGGGAACCTGTGTTGCCTGCAAACGCTGATGCTCTCTTGCCTCAGTGAGGGGAACGAAGCTGTGGCACGACCCCGGACCACACCTGGACAGTCTCTGGGAGGCCACCTGACACAGCGGGCTGGCCCTGCCCATGGCTGGCGAGCAGCAGCTGGAGCGGTGGCGGTCCCTGCTTCTGCCTGGTTGGTCTTTAAAATGTAAGTTCTGTTTCTCTGCCACGAATGTCCACCATCTCTAGTCCTCATCACTACCCTGAACAAAGGGAGTTTACAAAACCCCAACAGCACAGATGAGAAGGCAGAGGCTCAGAGAGGTGCCACGACTTGCCCAGGGCCACACGGCATGCACACGCCAGAGAAAGGAGGGCTTGGCTGGCCCAGCGATATGCCAGCCCCCCAGTGGCTGACAAGCCCCGCCCACTCCAGCTTCAGCTCCTCCTTCTCCCCCACGTCAGTCAACTAAAGGAAAACCATGTCCCATTCGGGGCTTGTCAGCCGCTCCACCAGCTCAGAGAGACTGAGGGAAGAAGTGTTTTCCAAACACCAGGACAGTCTTTCCTGGCTTCCCGTCTTGCCCTGTGCTGCTGTTAATACCCCTTTCCCAGGGGACTCTGGGAAATGCAGGTTCGGGGCCTGGGTAGCAGCTGCCACCCTCCGTCCTCCTGCAGGCTGGTACCTGCTCTGAGTGTGTGTCCCAGGCTGTGCGCTCAGACTTGACCATGTTTGGGCATGGAGGCTAATCCCAGATGGGGACCAAAGGCCGCTTCCCTGGAAACAGAGACGGCTGGCAGCCCCAGCTTCCTGCTGGAGCTCAGGCGGCCGCTTTTTGGGGCGGGGGCTGGGGGCCGGGCAGATAGAAAGTGCCTGCCTGCTGAAGACTCCAGGGAGCCGGGAGACTGTGAGTACTGTGTGCCCGGAGCACTTGGGGGAGTTTCTGCAAAGCGCAGGCTGGACGGGAGGGGAGGGGAGGGCTTTGGAGGGAGCTGGCAGTGGGAACACCCTTCTTCAGGGGCTGTGCACCGGGATTCGGGGTCCAGAGGGGCTGACATTGGTGCCACTGGGGACCGGAACTGCTGGCATCTGAACTTCAGCTGGGAGGTGGGAGGCAGAGCCCTGGCCCTCAGGTCCCAGCTGCCAATGCAGCCGGAGAGAGGGCTGCTGCCCAGAGGTCAGCCCAGGAAAATGTACTCCCTGTGACACTGTAATGTCTCTTAGAATGTAGGGGAACCCCACTTCTCAGTGCCCCAGATGAAGGAGGAAAACTTGCCATTGGGTGTCATCCCTGTCAGTCATCTTGGAGGCAGTGACAATGTTATATATCCTTGGTGCCTGATCCCAGGATCTTCTCTTTAGGACAGTGGGGGAGGAGTGGGCGGGGGGAGAAGGGGGAAAGGATCTCTGGGGGCACTTGAAACAGCCAATACTTGGGAGGGAAGCCTAAGTGGAAAATAAAGTGCTTTGCTGAAAATCCCTCTGGACCAATGTCTCCCTCCTGGACACTCACTAATGTACAAAAAATAACCTGTTTATTACTTTAGGGGCCTGGCAGGGAAAATACAGTTCTTCCTGATATCCGGCTAAAATTTCCCCAAAGCAGGGGATCACAGAGAGAGGGCCCCATGCCCCTGGTATCTTTGGTAGAAATGAACTATGGGTACCCTAAACCAACAAAACAACAAGGAAATGTACCCAAAGGCTGATGGGGCAAGTCACAGAACAGATGGGAACCCCATAAGGGACAGAAGCTGGCAGCTGTCAGGTGCCAGGTGCCAGTCACACCCCTGGAGGGTGTTCAGTGGCCCGGGGCAGGGGGGTGAGGGGGAGGGCCTCTGCTTGCACCGGGTGAGGCAGATGCCCAGAAGGAAAGTGAGGAGGAAAGAGGAGAGGTGCCAGCTACCCCCACCCCCCATTCTGCTTCGCCCCGGGTGGCTCAAGCCGCCAGAAGAGAGAGCAGTTGCTGCAGCCACTGAAGGCCTCTGCCCTTGCTTGAAGAGGGAGGTGGCCTCACAGAACCCTGACTGCGGGAACCTCAAGCCGCCCCCACTGCCTGTGGCTGCCTGCTGGGTCCTCTGCCTGCTGCCCCCGGCTGGGCCCTGCTGTGGGGCTGGCGGGCAGAACTGTGAAGGCCCTGGTTTCTCGGACAGCGTCCTAGGATGTCCTGCCCCTGCTGCTCGAGGAATGAGTGTATCTCCCGTGCCAGTTTCCTATTGCCGCCTTCACAAACGGCCACGCCGACAGAAATCTACTTGCACAGAGTTCTGGAGGCCAGAAGCCCCAAATTGGCAAGATGTTGGCAAGGCTGTGATCACGGCGTCACCAGCACTGCACTCCCTCCAGAGGTTCCTCGCCTCCTCTGGCTGCCAGGGCGGGGGGGGGGGGGGGGGGTGTCTGCCCGCAATCCCTGGCACGTGTGGCATCACTCCAGTTTCTGCCTACCTGGTCACATGACCTTCTTCTCGTCTGAGTCTAGTCTCCACCTGCCTCCTCCTGTAAGGACGTTGGGGGTCTACATGGATAACCCATGTGGGTGATCTCAAGCTCCTTAAAGTCTCTGCCATGTTAAGTAACAATCACAGATCCCAGGGCCGAGAACATGGACATCTTGGAATCACTATTGAGCCGACCGCACACTGTGACCTTGGGCAGGTCACTTTACCTCTCTGAGCCACAGGTCGGTCGTCTGTAGAAGGGAGTTAATAACATCGCTTCTCGGAGCTGCTGGGAAGCTTACTGGGGTCCAAAAAAGCCGTCTGACATTGCCAGGCTCCATATACAAATAGGGGCGATATTAATATTGGAGGCCCCTTCCCTCTTACCTGTCTTCCCTCTGTGGACTGTCACCTATGCTGCTCATGCCTATGTGTCTCTGTGGCCTTAGCAATGACTGCTGTCCCCAGCGGACATGGGGAAGAAGCTGGTGATGGCCCAGAAGCGGGGAGAGACTCGAGCCCTTTGCCTGGGCGTGGCCATGGTGGTGTGTGCCGTCATCGCCTACTACATTCTCTGCACGACCATGCTGCCCCTCTACCAGAAAAGGTACGCACCCTCCTGGCCTGTCCCCAGCCTCCAGCCGCTCCCCTAAGGTCCGGTCTGTGAGGAACCCCAGACTTCTTCCTACCCTTCCCCGGGACCCTCATGCCAGCAGGAATCCTCATTCGTAGGGTCAAGGATTCCAATGCAGGGAGGGTGGAGGGAAGGCCAGACTGGTCCCTGCTGGTCTGGGATCCTGGGACTTGGAGGTAACACACAGGAGGCCTTTCCACGGGAAACATCAAAGGGTCAGAACAAATGCTCCAGTGAGTTGCATGCCAGGAGGCGTCAGTCACAGAACCGTGTACCCCATCTGCACAGTGTGACTCCCCGTCTGAAGCCTCCGGTCAGTGGGTATCTAGCCTCCCGTGGAATATCTCAAGTGACGGGGAGCTCACTACCTCGCTGTACACACCTACTTTCTGATAAGTAGGACCTGTCTACATTGAGCCAAAACCCGCTTCCCCGGAGCTCTGCTCTGGATCTCGGAGAATGTTCCATGCCCTTGCTCCCTGACATGTCAACCACGTGAGCTTCTGAAGGGAGAGCGGTGACGTTTCTGATCCAGCTCTATCTGGAACAAACACACTCAGTTCTCCTGGCCTGTTCTTAGGCCAAGTCTCAGCCCCTCGCCTTGGGCACACGCCAGTCCCGCTCCTGCCAGCCCCTCGCCTGATGAAGGGGTCACAGTTGCTTTGCTGCTGATGTGTTGATGAGTCTGTTAGCCTCCCTGGAGTCGGCTCCTTTCTCCCTTTTGACACCCTGGAGAGATTCCAGGCTGGCACCTGACTGCTCAGAGCAGCCGTGCACCTCTGACAAAGCACCTCCAGGTTAAGCTCGATCCCCACCACCCTCCCCACCCAGCACAGACGAAACCCTCCTTCACCTCCACTTTTTAGGGGAAAGGGCACAGATTCTGAAGCCACCCAGACCTGACTTCAGGTCCTGTGCGGCCCTGGAAAAGTCACTTGACCTCTCCGAGCTTCTCTTCCATCTCTGAGGATGAAGATGACGTGCCTGCCCTTTTCAAAACAACCAGGGCCTGGGCCTCATCCATCCGTTCTGGGGTATGGCTTGGATGTGGGAATCTTCATCAAAGTTCCCCCGGGTTTTAAAGACCATTATGTGGATGAGGTCCAAGAGGCCATCGGCATTGACATTCGGATTCTGTGTCCTCCCCTGGGCCCAGGGACCCTGGGTCACACTCCTTCAGTGCCGGGTGCTCGTGGGGTGATGCAAGTCCCGGCCCTGGGTCTCTCCAAGGGGTTCAGTCAGGGTGGTCTGTGCCACACGGGTTCTGAAATATGTGTGTGTGTGTGATCTCTCCAGTGTGTGGACCCAGGAATCCACGTGCCACCTGATTGAGACCAACATCAGGGACCAGGATGAGCTGGAGGGCAGGAAGGTGGCCCAGTACCCGTGCCTGTGGGTCAACGTGTCCGCCGTGGGCCGCTGGGCCGTGCTGTACCACACGGAGGACACTTGGGACCAGAACCAGCAGGTACAAACTGGGGGGATGGGTACCTGTCCCCGTACTCCTGGCAGGTGTGATTGCCTGTCCCTAACTGACTCCCTAGCTCCTCTCTGGAGAGTGGGGGCTGAGAAAGATGACCCCCTTGGCCAGGGACCGTAGCTGGCATGAGGTCCAGTCAGACCTTGCTCTTCTGTGTGAGTCACACAGGCCTCGGTGTGAATCCCTGCTGTGCCACTAACTGGCTGTGTGACCCGGGGCGGCTGACTTAGCCCCTCTGTGCCTCAGTTTCCACCTTTGCTGAATTGCTCTTGTGCAAAGAGCACTGGATCCAATGTGCCAACCTGCATGCCGGGTGCATAGCACGCACGCATAAAGTGGCCGCTGGTGTTAGTACCGCATTCTGTAAGTCACATGAAAGGCCAGGCCCAGAGCTGACCCCCCCAGGGAACCCCTATGCATCCCTCACCCTAGGAAGCTGGGGTCCAGGGCTGGAGCAAAGGCAACACTTGGGATATTTTCTCATCACTGCCTCCCCACATCCCTCCCGCCCCCAAATCCACATGGTAGCCCCCCCTAAAGGAAATACAAGTCGGCCCATATTCATTTGCTCATTCGCTCCCTCTTTTACTCAACGGTCATTGGGCACGTCCTGTGTTGGGGGCTTAGGACTCAAGAGGAAAAGGCTCAGGCAGGAAGTAATCCTGGTGGGAGAGAGCCGGGCCATAGAGAGGAAGCGGGGACATTGTGGGATTAGAGGAGGGAGGGACGCTTTCCAGCCACCAGTGAGGCAGGCGAGGGTGCCAGGCATTGGGGTTAGGCGTTTAAATATCAGGCAGGCACAAGGGCCACAGAAACATGGAGGGGAATACAGGTCAAGGACAGGGCACAGGAGAAGGCTGGAAGGGAGGACAGCAAAACCAGGCTCCCACTCCTGACCAACGGATGCAGCGTCTGGGCTCTCCAGCTGGTTCAAAGGTAGAGAATTCCTGTGGTGAGCAACCTGGAGTCTTTCCAGGGCTTGGGGTCCAGGGCGCATGATCAGAGAGGAGCAGAGGAGTGTGCCGGTCAGTGACTGGGCAGAGGGGCGGGGCCACAGCAAACACCCGGGAGGAAGATTGGGCCTGAAGCAGGGTGGATGCTGACAGTCAGACTTTGGTGGCTGATAGGCTGGGAAGGGGCAGAGTGTCTGGGGGGACAGTGGGATTACGGACAGTGCTGGGGGTTGGGGGTCATGGAGAAGTGGGTGTGGACAGTGCAAGGTGGCCTGACCTGTTCTGCCATCACTCCAGGCATCACTCAGCCCTGCCAGGATGAGGAAGAGCCCCCCAAAGCCCCTGGATCGGCTCCCACTGGGACACCTGCCTCTCCTGGCATTCAGTGGCCCCTGACTTATCCCAAGGAGCAAGCAGCACAGTTTCAAAGGCAGGCAGGCAGGCACGATCATGGTGTGACGGGGATTGGGCGCAGGCTGGCTTGCAGGCCGCCTCCCTGATGCTATGGTTGTCAGCTCAGAGGGACAGGAGGCCAGACTGTCCCCTGAGATGAACTGCCAGCGGCATGTCTGGCTCTGGAAGGCAGCCACCGGCTGTTCTGTCTTCTCTCCCATCGTACCCAGGCATGACCAGGAGCAGTTGCTAATGGCAGGCTGCTAGCATGTGGGGCAGGGGAAGTACCTTCATGTTTTTGTCACTCAGCTGGGTCAAAGGGCCAGGTGCCCCTCTACTTCATTCAGCTCTGGGGTGCAAGGGGCTGGTGCAGCAGGCCAGCTGGGTGCTGTATGAAAGGCCCTTCTCTAAAAAGGGAAAGGAAGAGCTATCTTCGCAATATCATGGTTAAGTCCCAATATCATTATCCTATATAATAAAGAGGTAATATGAAAATGGTCGTCACGCAGTGGCGTGTAACGACCGATCAGCAGGAGGGCAGGGCAGCCAGCTATGTGCGGTGGAGAGCTATGAGCAGCGGTGGGCGGACAGCCAGGTGAGGCAAGCGGCAGCAAGCTGCTTGCGCACAGATTCGTGTGCAGGGCCACTAGTTAATTATAACAGCATCTCCCATTTATTGAGCACTTACTATGTGCTCAGCTTTGTGTGACGTGTTTATATGCATCCTCTCTTCTAATCCCCACAACAAGTCAACTAGGCAGGCACCTTCACAAACCCATTTTACAAGGCTCAGAGAAGTTATGGCACTTGCCAAGATCACACAATTTGGAATTGGTAGTTGAACCCAAGCCTGTCTGGCTCCACAGCCACACATCACTCAGTGAGCTAGGTTCCCCAACATCACAGTCAGAAGCACTGGGGAGACTTGAGCTAGGCCCTCTCAGCTCAGGATTCTGAATCCATCTGCTACTGGGACCCTGAGGTGCCCAACAACTCTGCATGCCAGATTCCCCAGGAGCCAACTTCTCCCCAGCCTCAGCTGCTCCCTAGCTGGCTGGCTGGTGACCTACTTCTGGATGCAACTCCCCCACTTCCCAGGCTGCCAGAACTCTGATGCAACCATCCTTCATTCTGCTGGACTGAGCACTGTCAGGGTCAGCAGCTGTGAGGTCAGGGCCTCATTCAAATCCAGGGAGTAACCGAGGCTGGGGAGAAGCTGGCTCAATAGTTTACACATTGTTGCTCTTGGACATAATTGCTCTAGCCCAGTGGTCTCAAACTTTTGAAAATGAAGGAATCACTTGATTCCTGGGCCCTACCCTTGGTGATTCAGATGGCCAGCCCTCCAGGGGGTCTGCTGGAGGGGAGAGGGTGGGGAGGGGGGTACCCTCACTTGCAGAACATCTCCCACAGGCTCCCATAAACAATACCCAGACCTCCCGGCACAGAGCAGAGCTAGAACCAGGGTCCCTGCCTTGCACTCCTCTGCAGAGCTTTCCAGCTGGGTCTCATCTGAGCAGGCCAGAGGCTCCTCAGAACAAGTCAGTGTCAGAACTGAATGTGTGCCACACTCGAGTGCACAACGCTCCCCTGGACGCACCCTTCCTCCCCTCTGCATCCCAGCGTCTAATACTGGCTGGCCAGCACCTTTTGCCTGGCTCACACAGGGCGAGACCACAGAGGGTGTTCAATGTGAACTGTTGCCAATATTTGCAGAATGTGAGAGTTCACATTAAACTCTGGTTTTCTGGCTTCTCGTGACATGTCGGAGGCCTGGCTGCAATAGGTCTTCTGGATCCCATGGTGACCCCTCCCCAGATGGAGTGATGACTGCCAGTCTGGGTGCATCCGGCTGCCTCCTGTCACCAGGCCCCACCACTCCCTGACAGTTCTCTATGGCACACAGGCAAGGTGGCACCTGCCTTCTTATTCTCTCACCGCGTCATAAGTGGGCATCCCCGTGTGAGCCCTGCAGGTACCCGAGCATGTGACCTCTGGCCTGAATCCAAATGCAGAGCCACTGGGCCTGTGTCACTCACTGCCTCTCATTGGTCTCCTTAGCGAAGCTTGAAGTCCTCCTTTAATAACATCGTTGGAAAAGATATTGCTTTCAACCCATTTAAGAGATGAAGCTATCAAGGCTCAGAAAGGGTGAGTGATTGGAAGCAGAGCCAGGACTCCAGCTGGGCCCTGAGCAGCCACAGGGCCACCGTGCTCACAGATGATACTGTGAGGGCACCCTGTAGCCTTAGATAGTTCTGGCTCCCCCCCCCCGCCCCCGCCCCAGGGGCCTGACTCCAACGCTGGCACTGTTCTTCACTCCTGGCCAGCCACTCATCTCTGGGTGCTAAGAGATGGGGACTCCCACTCCAAAGGAACTCCTGCTTCTCCCCGCAGTGCTCCTACATCCCAAGCAGCCTGGACAACTACCAGCTGGCCCGGGCCGACGTGGAGAAAGTCAGAGACAATTTCCACGAGCACCGGGTTTTCTACTGCCTCTCGACCACGCGGGAGAATGAGACCAGGGTCCTGTACCGGCGCCTCTACGGGCCCCAGACCCTCCTGTTCTCTCTCTTCTGGCCCACCTTCCTGCTGACCGGAGGCCTCCTCATCATCGTCATGGTGAAGATCAACCAGTCCCTCTCCATCCTGGCGGCTCAGAAGTAGACCCGTGCACGTCACAACACTGGCCAGGTTGCAGGAGGCTGGGGGGGCCCTGGGCTGTACCCCGTTTGTGTATCCATGTCTCTTCCCTCTGCCTTCCCACCCTCCCTCCCAATCCACCCAGTCAGTCTTCCACAGCACGCGTGGCCTCTGTTAAGTCCTTTCCTGCTCAAGAATGGACAATGGCTCCCCAGTGCCTCGGGGAGCACAGGCCAGCCACTTACAGCTCTCCATTCCCTGCCCCGCCTCCATGGACTCCAACCCATTTCTGGCTGAGCCACCCGCCACCCCACAGATGATGACGGTTCTGACCTCTGCGCCATGTTCTCGCCGCTGACTCAAAGGCCTGCCCGTGCTGTCCAAAACGCTGTCCTCAGCAAACCCCGCTCCTTTGTGAATTTCATAATGAAAACAGCGGCGGGTGCAGAGAGCACAGTTAGAGCCGCTCTTGTCTTCAGGACTCTAAGTGCCTTACACATTTTCACTCTAATGTTAGCAAGCACACAAAGAACAATGGGGCTACAAGGAAATATACGAAAATGCATCAAAATACTGACAGTGAGGTGGTGGTTACTGTGAACTTTCTTCCTTTATCCCCCCTTTTTAATGTTTGGTACTTTTCTAAGTTTTCAGCAATAGGAAGGTTTGGTTTTGTTGTTTCTTTCTAACCAGAAAAGCAACAGTACGTGTTATTTGGGGGAAAGTTTGAGCCTCCATCACTAAGCAGGTGAAGTGGGCCGAGGCGGGATTGGGCCCCCATCAGAGGAGGCTCCCGAGAACAGGCAAGCGTAAGGGCCCTCCATGGAGGGGAGGTACCCACCCAGATGGGGGTTTACCCTGCGGGGAAACGCAAGGGCACTGGCCCTGCTGGGGAAACCCTTCTCGGTTGCAAAGGGCAACATTGGAGGCAGCTGCCACCTCCACCATCACTCCTGCATCAGGCTTCCTGCACAAGGGTAGTGGGCCTCGAAGCCAGCCCCCAGACCACGGTGCCAGCATTCTGGGCAGACTCTCAAGAAATGCACGTCCTCAGCCCCCCATCCTGTCAGAGCCCCCAAGGGGGTGTGGTGTGCTGGCATCGGTGGGGTCAGAGCAGGGGCTGCTGGGAGTTCTGACATGTGCTCATGTGTGGGAACCAGGCCCCCATCCCCGTGCTTTGGGAATGGATACACGGCTCCTGGGCAGGGCAAGTCCTGAGCTGAGTGCAAGGTCAGGCCGGTGCCCTTGAAGCTGCTCCTGGTGCGGCGATTCCAGAAGCAGCCTCGGGTGAGTCACGTCCCTGCCGCTGCCAGGCTCCATCTCTCCGATGCTGGGCTGCTCTGTCTATAAAAGACAGACTCCTCCCTCAGGGAAACTGAGAGGGCTGAATAAGGGTCTGGCACATAGTAGGTGGCCAGGAAGGAGGCTATTGTTAATGACAATAAGTGATAAATACGCAGAAACTCCCAGAAGAAATTATACCAACAACAATATCAACTAGCATTTTAGGTGCTTCTTTATGACATGCCAGGCACTGTGCCAAGCAGTGTGCCTTGTAAGAATTCAGCGAGGTGCTACTGAATCCATCAGAGAGGAGGAGAAATACGGGACAGTGGTCATGTACGAGGACTTGTGAAGTGAACGCCTGCATTCAAATGCCCAACCCTGCCATTCGCTAGCTGGGTGACTTGGGGCAAATAACTGTGCCTCTCTGAACCTCAATTTTCTCATTTGCAAAATGGGAACTAATAATAATATCTCCTTGTAGGACTGTTGGTATTAAATGACTTATTATATAGTGTTCCTAGAAGAGTGACTGACACACGGTGAGTGCTATATAAGATACTATGCAGAACGAAGGCTCTAGGACAGGGGTCCTCAAACTATGGCCCGCGGGCCACATGCAAATACAAATATTGTATTTGTTCCCGTTTTGTTTTTTTACTTCAAAATAAGATTGGTGCAGTGTGCATAGGAATTTATTCATAGTTTTTTTTAAACTATAGTCCGGCCCTCCAACGGTCTGAGGGACAGTCAACTGGCCCCCTGTTTAAAAAGTTTGAGGACCCCTGCTCTAGGAGGTCACTGGCCACTAGGTAAGTGTAGCCATCCATACAGCAAGTGAGGAGCTGAAAATTAAGCCCCGAGCTCGCTGATTCCAGCGCCTGGCCTCTCAGCAGAAGGGCTCAGGGATGCAGCCCCCGCCGCCCCCGTGCCCAGGTCTGGAACAGTGTGCAGCCCTGCAACCCAGCAGGCCCTCCTGCGGGTCAGGGATCTGAGAGGCGGGCATCCAGAATCTGCACCAGCACCTGCCACTTCCAGGCAGGGGGCCCTGACCCAGCTCTACGGTCTTATCCGCGGACACCCTCCCCAGGGGAGGCAGCACCCCATTCCCCAGGTGCTTCCTCCGGGCTCAGGGCAGTCTCAAGCTCCTCCCACTCTTTCAATGAAGTCCCAGTTGTGCTGCCATATTAGCTTTCTGCACGATGTTGCCATCGGGGAAATTAGGTAAAAGGTACATAGGATCTCTTGGTGTGATTTCTTATAGCCCCATGTGAACCTGCAATTATCTCCAAAATGTAAGTTTAATTTTAACAAATAAACAAGAAAAAGAAGCCCCCACACGAGTCTCAGATGTAGGGGCTCCTTTGTAAGTGGGTTCCATGCACCTGTACGTGGGGCTACAATGCACAGCAACTCAGCGTATCCAGGCAGCCCCTGCAGGGGAAAGGCCACACCCTCTAGAAAATGTAGTGCCTGGAGGGCCAGGCCCCACTGCCCCTGCACTATTAACCGTGACCTTCATTCCCCCGAGACAAATGCCCCGGTCCTGTCAATAGCGATTGGCCCACTGCTATCAAATCCACACCTGCCTGCTGCCCGCAGAACTTGGTGAGCAGGACCAGCGTGAAATAACGGCATTTCAGCGGGATGGAGTGACACACCGAGGAGAATGTTTTGGGGAATAACGGTGCCCGGGAGCAGAGCGCTCATTGGTTCTGAACAGATCACCCTGCTAGTGAGGGTCTCGTGCTTGCACTGCTTTTGCATTTCCTCTGGTGGGCCAGTGGCTCACGCCTGGAGAGGTGTGCCTGGCTCGCACGCCCATGTCCCTCCCCTGGAACTCAGGCACCTGCTGGAGGTCAAAGGCAAGGGGATGGGGAGGGGCAGAGAGGATGGAGTCACTGCCTGTCTTCAGGGAGCATTCCATCTTCTTGCCTCTCTCCCTCCCGCCCCTCCCGACCATTATTAAGGTCTTCCTTCCTCACAGTGAAGGACCTACTCCATGCAAGTTTATATTCATAAAACCTTCATTCTTGTGACTTATTGAAAGGATGCCCTCCTCTCCCCAAATCCACTTTCTAATCTGGTACTTGAACCCTCCCTACAACATTCCCCTGCATTGACAACCTGTATTAACATCCCTTTAGATCCGTGGTCGGCAAACTGCGGCTCGCGAGCCACATGCGGCTTTTTGGCCCCTTGAGTGTGGCTCTTCCACAAAGTACCACATGTGGGCGCACACGTACAGTGCGATTGAAACTTCGTGGCCCATGCGCAGAAGTCGGTTTTCGGCCTGGGCGAGTCTATTTTGAAGAAGTACTGTTGGTATTTGGCTCTGTTGACTAATGAGTTTGCTGACCACTGCTGATGAATGACTCTCTGTGCCAGGAGGTAGCCACTTCCATTTGGGGATGTGTTTAGCGAATCGCCCCCTGTACAAGCATCCGTCATCTCTAATAGTAATGAGAGTTAACATTTTCTCGGCCCCTGTAGGCCAGAATCTGGGCTACGCTTTTACTCACGCAGCACGAAATCCTTTGGGTTGCTATTACTATCTCCCCTTTACAGATGAGGCAAGAGGCACAGGAGGGATTTAACTTTTTTTTTTGCAGCAGCAGCAAGTTAGAGGTTAGTAAATAGCAGGATCCATACCTGGATAGCGTAGCTTCAGACGCTACTCTCTAACCACGGTGCTTCCCACCCCTTGCCTCTGCCCCACGTCAAACATGAAGATATCAAGCAGGGCGAGGTTGGGGCTGAGAGCCTGTTGCACGCCGTCATGTACCTTCCCACAGGGCCCAGGCTCCCGGGGGCTCCCTCTGAAGAGTCAGAAGATGTGGGTGAAGCCCAAACACACGTGTCTGCAAAAGCCCTGTAAAGGTTCTAACTGGGCACAGCCAAGGCAGACAGGGACATGCGCCAGCTTCACGTGCCTGACTCCATGATCACTCAGCCCACAGCCACAGACTCTCGCAGGAACTCAGGCACGCCACGGCCAGGCAGTCCCTGAAATAGCCCCTATTAAAAAGCAGAACAGAACAGAACAGAACAGAACAGAGGCTGGTCTGACAGGACTTTTCTCAGCGCCCCCCCCTCCCCCCCGGGCTCTCAGGTCCCCCTTCTTTCTTTTCCAAGTGCTCCCAAACCACTGGTTTAATAGTCTGCTCTAGTTGGAAAGACCCTCCCAGCGTGAGGCTCTAGAATTTGTCCAGGAGTTGACGGCAAGCTCATTTACATACAGCTTTGGGGTGTTTTCTCACTATCATTAATAAAAATCGGGCCACGTGACACCTTCTTGGTCTCTAATTTTTCTATGACTCTGTTGAGCACACAAGTCATATTTCTGAAAACGTCTGTATGTGTCTTTAGCCACCGTTTTGTAGGCCCTCGGCTGTTTCTTTCCAACCCCTGGGATTGAAATTCTCTGAAGCCAGAAGTTCCCTGAGGAGCTCCCGACCCCCTCAGGCCTCTAAGCCACGCTGGGCCACGATGCCCAGTTCTCAGATCCCACTGCTGCAGGATCCCATACAGAAACCCCTAAGAAGCGGGATTTGGTTGTCCTGCCATCAGACCATTTGCCCCACGCTGACTCAGCCATCGGTTACTCTCATTGCCAGAACATGTTTTAGATGCTTTTTTCTTATTCTTGCATTTTTGGGGAGGTAAGTTTCAGCCGACTATGACCTTGTGCTTATGACCCTAAACTATATGCTTGTATTTCCTTCGGACAGGGGACCGGCAGAGAGGAAAGCTCAGAAAGCCAGAGCTGGAGTCCAGCTTGCCGATGACCTGGGCTAGTTTATTTCATGTCTCCGAGTCTCAGATTCCTCAACTGGCAAATGGCTGTAACATCGCTTGTTTCATGGGGCACTTGAGACGAGTCGTTGCTAAAAGGCACGCGAAGCACGCAGCTCAGCGTCTGGTACTTAAAGATGCTCCACAAATGTTCATTCTTTCTGAGCAAACGTGTCTCCTTCCTTGGATCATCCCGATTCTTCCCTGTTTGAGCTCAGACAACTTCCTGCCACCCCTTCTTCTCTCTAGCAACTTCCCCCTTCTCTTTCTTGTGAGCCTCACTGACCATCTGGCCTCCCTCCCTCTCGATCCATTTTTAGCTGGATTCCCTCTCAGAAAATTCCCGCCGCAGACAGACTGTTAGCCTTTGATTTGAACTTTCTCGAATCTACTTGTATAACTTAGTTGCTGAGGGAGAGCAGTAGTTGTCACAGCGAAGGGTCAAAGGCCCAATTTCCTTCAGAGTGCTCATCCCAGGAGAACCATCGTCTGGGACAATAGGTCTGGCCAGAATGACCCTCCCAGCGTGAGGAAGGCAGGTCTCTCTGCCCAAAAGTCAGGCTCGATTGGAAATTAAATTGCATGCCAACGCCGACTGCAGGATGCCTATATCCACAGCTAATTCATCAAGGTGATGCATCATCTCAGGAAGCCCGTGGAATAGAGTGGCTGCGTCAGCGAAATTATGAGCTTGTATCTGATGAGAACTTTCTTTTTATTCTTAATCCATTGGTTATTGTTCCATT